ACTAGAATGGCATGATTATCAAATACCTTTGAAAGATTAAAATAACGTTCGTCATCCACGCCCTACGCGGTATTTTTGTGCCTCTGTCAGAGCACATGATGAGCATTATAGTGTAGAAACTGGTAGTTTATGGAGTTCTGCTCACACTTACACACAGCAGCTCAATCGAATTAGCTATCTGTTTCATTTCGTATAAATATCATTTCCGTTCTCTTGTGAAACCTGTTTACGACACCTCTTATTTTGAGGTTTCGCAGAAAATTTTACTACTCGTAAAGTATAACAAGCAATGGAAAGAGAAACATGACTTAATATGTCAACTAGTGTACTAATAACAAGCAATTACTTGTTATTTTCAGTAGTGATGTAAAAGGCTTTCATGCGTCTTTTGAGGACGTGCGCGAACGTCTCAGTTATCTTGGTTTGGCTGTTTTCTAGAAATATCTCTTTTCAGTTGGCCTTGTCGACGATCCTCGTGAAATTTCATCCAACCGGGCTAAAAATATCTAGTCAAGTACCTCAGAGGGTAAATTTCTTTTTTTCGGAATATATTGGTGCATTGAAAAGTTTTATCGGAAATATGCAGAACGCCTTGTAGAATCTTGATTTTTGATTTTAAAAACCCTTTAACTCAGCTCAGAAGCATTTTTTTCTAAAAAGAAAGTTAAACTTCTGGAGAAGCTTCTGTAGTAAACGTGATAAAAACTTTAGTCGAAATTGATGGCCTTTTAAGAGAGACGTAAGCAAGGCCTATTGAGTCACTCTATAAGACTGACTATTTGGAAAACTTTCAAGTGCTGGAATGAAGAGAATGATGTTCGAAAGTTAAAAAGTAGAGTTTTTAGAGTAGAACGACAGTCCTAGACCAATCTTTTATAAGAATCGTTTTTTGTAACTCCTCCAAGTAATTCGAAGCCTAAAGAACAGTTCTATACTTGAATTCTTAGCGGTTTCATCAAAAATTTAGCCCCTCCCTGAAGACTGTCTTAAATTAGCTGTGGATACTATCTAAAAATACTGTGTAAACTACCTTAGAATATATGGAGAGTGTCTTCGACGCTAATCAGCTTTTTAAAATTCTGGTACGATTATTATAAGACTTTTATCAAATTTGTATATATGGTTCGGCCATGATCGTGATAATTACTTCGTACGAGACTTATAAGAATTTGATAATTATTGGAAAACGTTGGATGACTCTAATTCTTGTGCTTGCCAACATATTAATTTATCTCTGGTGACTCAAGAAATTTATACAGTTAATGTGGAGAAAGAACTGTCTTTAGTCATTCAGAAATGTTGTCCTGTGATGTTCGATGTTGAAGTGTAGTAGTCAATACACCACACTTGTGTAAAGGAGATTGTGTTATTGAAACAAAGCAACAATCAGACAACAATCAGAAATTGATTAAGAAAAGCCAGCAACGGAAGTTAGAACAAGAGAAGGCTTAAATACAATCGTAGATTAGGAGAAATAGGTAAGATTTGGATGAGTTATAAAAACCATGTAGAATTTGATACTGAACAATTTTTGTTCCCACAGTTTTCTTCTATAATGTTTTCCTGAAGCGAACTGAAGACTAAAACAGAGATTAAAAAGGTTTATTTGCTTACGAAGAAGTAGTGAAACAGTCGGTGTAGAAAATACAAAAGATAGCCACAAACGGTATAAAATTTGGTAGTAGTTTTTGGCACAGAATTACAATATTAAACTAATCGATATAGATCTTTTGACTATAAAGAATGTATCTGATTTTTTACAACAGCTTTATAAATACTGCCGATTTAAGATAATTCGACGTAATCGGCGATCCGAAGTAAGTCATGTCTGACTCTTCTGTGTCAGAAATCCGTTCTACATATAAAATCTCCACCAAACTATTAGAAAATATTGGTCATCTCAAAGTATGGAGACGAAGTTGTTTTCTCGACTTTATCTATTACCGTTCATGAAATGTCGTGAAACGCTAGGCAAAATGGGGTTTTAGACTCATTGAAAACAAAAACTGCATAGTTCGGATTGGGTTTAGTTCTTACTGTATTTACTTATAAGAATGAGGGTTCTTAATTTTTGCTTCATCGAGTGATGCATTTAATTCGACAAACTTACAAAATGTTTCTGATTTTTCCAGAACAACTTATTTTTCGACGAAACAAAAGCCTGCACGAAAAACTGCGCTCTGTTTTGTCATTACTGTGTATTTTGTCTTGGATTCTAAAAAGATTAGTTTTTATGTCGTGTTTCATTCCGAAAAAATCTGCTAAACGGTAAACGTTTCTCTACCAGAAAAAACAATGCAGATCAGTATACTATCAATTTTTATCGCTTCTTTTAAAAGCGTTTTAAACAACACGCATTGTTAGTACAGACACTATTGGCTACCTAGTCATATTCGTCTAAAAAATACTTTTAGCTGTAGTTGAAAATTTCGGACAGAGAACAGTGCGCAATGATGCACGAAAGTGAAAGTTGTTTTTTAAAGGTTCTTTTTAATCGATTAGAAAGATCAATATATTAGTTATGTTCTATCGTGGAAATGAAGCTTTTGTTTCGTCCAGAACGGTGGAAAAATGCGATTTACTAAGTCTAAAAATCATTAGTAATATGAGAATTTAATTTCTTCTCGGGTCAGAAAAATGTCTGGGCTGAAAAAGATTTCGTAATTAAGTAATTAATATATAGCTAGAAATTGACAAAAAATGCTTTTAGTTTGGACTTAATACGACAGAAGAAAAAAGTGTTTACCACTCTAAGACTATTTCCAAAGCCTAGGTTGTGTTGGACTGAAACTTAGTATGAAAATTCATCTTCAATAGATATCGTGAAATTAGCACAAAATAGCGTAAATCTTTTGGAGTTCACAGTGGATTTTTTAAAAGTCGAAAATGTTGTTTGTAAAAACTTCATTTTATCTGCAGAATAAGCGGGTATTTTTAAGTTTGAGCAAAATGGCACATTCGGAATCATCGCATGAAGCTTCATCCAACTATATATAAAACAGTGAGTTTTTGATTGAAAAAATCTCTTGATTTTGTCCTCTACGGTGATTTTTTGTTCATCAAACTGCAAGATATGATGACTTGAGAATGAGAGTGATCCATTAAAAAAGATCTATTTGCAAAAAAGATTTGATGTCAGGTTCTTACAAAATTAAATAAGGGGAGCTTATAATATAATTTGCTTATCTCTAAAGGTTTGGAAATGAATCATATTGAACAAAGATTTCTAACAACCTCCAACGTCTCTTTACCATCTTCAATGTCACGATAACAGAACAAATCGATATCAGTCAAAATAAATCAGTTGTATTTTGATTATCATAACAGATCTTCGTAAAATTCGTCGTCATCTCGATCATATTGTCAAACCTGATCTAGTATTTGTTTACTTACGAGATATTTTAATGCAAGAAAAGCAAAGCTACGTTTTAATAAATATTAATATTCAATTGTTATTGATTTTAATATTTGTGTGTTTCAACGTGAAGTATTGTATGAAAAAATTCTATTCAAAGAACCGTTTCAGCAAGATGTCGACGAAACATGAATCTGAATTATTAGCTTATTGGATGATTGTATCTGATGGGATCTGTTATTATAACGTATTGTTACTCTACTGTTGTTCATTCGAATATCAGCAGAAATCACAGAATATATGGATAGTTTAGTCTGAAGAAGTATAACTCGACGCTATGCTTTAATCAATGTTAGTCATCACTTAATTATTTATTTTATTTGTGATCTCTTCTGTAGTAAAATGTATAATTATATTTGGAAGGCACTTTTCTGTTTCTTAGCTTAATGTTTTTAAATACAAAAGGAAAAGAAAGTCATGGATATGGATTAAGATGTGTGAACGAATTTTTGCGTCTCGGATTAGCTCCATATCACATGTACATGTGTTTCCTTTGATAATAGGTAACTATGTTCAAGATCGATCAACAGTGAGATTACATCTTTTGTTTGTAATCTTCTCTTTTCTTTCGTCTTTCTGATTGTTTAATATGATTTCCTAATATACTACGGTTCTCGTTGTTTACGATCCATTGTTAAAATTGACTGTCGAAAAGAAAAGAAAAAGAAGTTGAAATAGTTGAATGTCGCAGTATCAATGCTACACTCTCCAAATCGGTCAACTATGTTTTTTGTTATGAACATTTTCTAAAAAGTATAATTCAAAAAGATATTTAGCAATTTAATCCAGACATCACACAATTGCCATTAACAAAGATCATTCAATATTCATTGTAAAGTGAAAAGTTACCTCAACATATTGGTAAATGCAAATTGATTGAAATTGCAATAAAATCATCAAGTCAGAAAATTGGAGCCCATCAAATCTCTCTTGAAAAAAACAGCATTTCTTATTATTGGCTTATTGCGGTCTTTTACTGTAACAAAAGGTTTGTTTTTATTTGTTTTACAACGTACTTCAATGATGGAACAACGAGAATAACACATTCAAAATACATCTTTTTTTGGTTATACAAAAAAGAAAACACGAATCGTTGTTGTTGTCGTCATTCTTCACTTTCTCTCTAGGTTTGTATCTAAATGATACCAATGCGGTTAGCCACATCTAATGCATCATGATCAGCTTTCAATCGAACATAGGCTTTTTTTTCACCATCTGGACGTATTAATGTGTTGATTTTTTCAGCATCAACATCATACATTTTTTTGACAGCCGCTTTAATTAACGGTTTATTTGCACGAATGTTAACAATAAATACTAAGGTATTGTTATCTTCAATTTTTTTCATCGCCGATTCGGTTGTTAACGGATGTTTGATTATGGCAAAATGATCAAGACGATTACGTTTTGGCACAGATCTTCTTGGATATTTTGGTGTACGCTGCAGACGTAGTGTGAATGGACGACGAAATGTTGGTGTTGTACGAATTTTTCGTTTACGTGTTAGTTTATTACCACGGGTTACACGTTGTTTTGCTTTTAATGCAGTTGTTTTAACCTTTTCTTTCTTTTGTGTTGTTACAACTTTTGTTGTATCACCGCCTGTAGTTGCTCCCGGCTTTTGACCTGTTGTCGGTGTTTTTGCCTTTTTACTCACGGATGCACTTGCGGTGGTTGTAGCTGTCGTCCCTGCAGACGTAGCAGCACTGACCGACGCTGTGGCTGTTGTTTCTTTTTTCTTCGCCGGTTCTTTTTTTGGAGCCATTGATTAGACTTTTTAATGAAGAATTCTAACGAAGTTAATCTTAAACAAAAAAAATATTTTTATCTTAACGGAGAAGTAAATTTTTGAAGATTACAGACGTACTAGTATTTTTCGCTGTTATGCATACAATTAGCAATTTCTAGGTGTGAAATATGGACAATACGTAGAAAGGAATAAACAAACTAACTGATAAAAAGAATTATCTAATTCAGTCTGGTGACGATCTTGTTAATACTCCGGTAATGGTCGACTAGAACGAATTTCTCGATGAATGCAGTTTAGCCTGCAGACGTGGATAGTAAAGAAAACTTTTTAAGCATCGTGATATCACTTATTCATTTCCTTTAATCATAAACTGAATACTTATTACTTATAAACAAAGGAAACCCTCTAGTCGATTAATAATAAGCAAGAAATAGGATTCTAAAAATCTTGCCATCGTTCGACGAATATCTACATTGAAAAGCATATAAAAAGATGATTGATTCTTTTCCTCAAACCACTCGATTCTTCACCACACTTTTACACTTCATCAAACAAAGATGGATATCGACCAGCTAAACAACCGATCCATAAACGAAGAATACAAACTATCTGCTACCATACTGACACACTACGATAAGTAATAATAATTTATTTATTTCTTCATTTCTTTTATTTTCAATTACATCAACTGTAGTTGTTCCAATTGGTCGTGAAGAAGCTCTAATCTGCATCGACAAACTCCTTACGATAAATTTGAATATGAAAAACCAGGAAAAGAGAAACAATTTACCGTTAATTAATCTATCGAGTAGAGTTGATTCGCTGCTGTCTTTAGACGTTTTACTTCTGATGACTGCAGCTGTAGAGGTCGCTACTAGCTTGTCTTTTTCCAGATTCAAAGATAAAGAGATAAATTCATCCATTGATTTGAACAACTATATTACTACATACCTGCTGCAAAACCATTTATATCCAATAATTAAGCTAGCTGTAATGCTATCTTATTTGGGTCTTCCCCTCAAGGGTCAACTCTAAATATTCGCAAATTTGCGAAAAAAAAATATTCGTCTATCATATTGTTCGAGACGATTCATTCTTTGAGATAAATTCCATTTATACAGATCCATATTTTTATCAAACTGGGTTAATTTCGTTGTTACTTCATTTTTTTTATAAATCATCTATTTGTTTTGATATATTAGGTTTAAATTTCAATATATCATCATCACACTGCTTTAATTTAATTGTTAAATCATTTTTGATTGTCTTAAGCTATTAGGCTTGTTTATCTAATCGACCTTTTATTTTAATAACAGTTTCAATCTTGAGTCCAAATTCTGATTTAATATATTCGTTCAGCATTCTAATAAACTTTCTCGGATCAATGATGTTATCAGTTACTTCAAACAACTGAGAGAATTTCTTGCCTGAGTCTTAACCATCTCCAGTCGAACTTTTATTATCAGAATGTGTCATTTTACTTAGAACATATTTAACAGTTTAACCACTGTACGACACTGTGAAATGTGACTACTCTAGAATAAAAAATAGGAAGTATACGTCCGTTTATTATATTAAAAAATTTTGCCATTGAATTTTATTCAAATATCACTTTACTTTTTATTGAAAATACAAAATAGAATTTCTACAATAAGGTTAAGTAACTGTAACACTTTCAGGCATACTGTAGTCGGTCTAAAATAAGACTAAAAAGTAATCAAAAAGCTACAAAAAGATAACACGTTCTTTATATTTGTAAAAAAACTATAATTTGATTTTTTAAAGTCTTTTATCATTAATGTTTTTCTTTTATTTATTTAAATTTGTCATCTTGAAGTTTTTTTGTTATTGTGATGCGCAAGATAAACAAAAAGTTATTTACAAACATGCATTCAAATTTTATAAAAATTATAATTTTGAGTTGATAAAGATTAGTAAAAATTTGTTCTAAGATAGGTATGTATCTTGAAGTTTTTTTAAAAGTTCAGAATTTATATACTGAATCGCTTCGAATGATTAATAGTAGGTTTAAATATAAGATTGAACCATATTTCTTTAAAATTAAAAGAAATGATGCAAAATTCTACATCTTCCATTAAAAGCTCCAAACTTGTTTGTAGTCATTGTCATCATAATATTAACACTTGCAAGAGTTATTTTAAAACGAAACTATCTTATAACAACAACAACTTCCATATTAACGCCGAGCTATACCATTGATCCAAATTTACTAGATCATTAACTTATAGCAGATTTTCAGTATATTCGTCAGAATATTGACACTTAAAAACATACAGTATATTTTGAAAATAGATGGAGAATGATTATTTCAAAATTTATCACTTCCCTAGTGAAAATACTCATGCTATGAGTACGTCTTTACTCATAATTCGTCCATGAGTACTCATACGAGTTCTACTAGTAACTTTTGGATATTTTTTACTCAGTGAGTTCAGTTACTATGTGGGTACTCAGGAAATATTCATTCACCATTTTGTTTTGCAAAATGTAGGCAAAAATGAAACTGTATAAAGAATGTAGAATTTAGTAAAGAAACATAGAATATTTATATGATATTTTTCACTAGGGAATCGACGTTTATTTAATCTAATTAAATATGCTTATTCTACAGACGTCGTTATTTTACACGATACAGAATCTTGGATGATGTGCACGTATGATTTTGGGTATATTTATTATTCTTATCATTATCGTTACACCTATTTATCAACATATACAGATGTGATGAGTTCAAGAAACGGTAAATTAATTCAAAATATTCAATATTTATTAGAATTAACAGTGAAATGCAAACTAGCGAAACAATCATGAAACAGAATAGTACATGCTTTTACAAATAAGTGAAGTTAACAAACGGATAAATCAATAATAGGTCGTTGAATTGTCAATTGTTTTTGTATACGCTTTGTTAATTCATCATTTTGCGTATTTTTACGTTTATTAATACTTGACAAATGATAAACTTCAATTTGTACTTCACAGTAACGATTCCAAAAATGAACCATTTCATTGAATACAGATACAAGTTCATGTTTGCATGATGCCAAATAATAGACTTGTGAAATGGTATTTATTGGATCTTGTTGTTGTCTAGCCGTATCTGTTGCTTGTACTAGACGATAAATAATTTTTTCGTATGATGATTGTAAAATACGACATTGTTTACTTAGAATTAGAATTTTAGTCGCTTTCAATAATTTTTGTTTCAACAGTTGACATCGATCATGAATAATAAATGATAGTTTCTTCAATCGTTCAAATCTAAATTCGGATTTGTAAATACCGTTTACATAACTTTTATTAGAATAAGAGCGTATATCTAAAAGAATAACGAACTCGATATATAGTCACATTATATGCGTGGCAGGAAAATAGTTTTTCCTCTTACCATAATGGTATTTGAGACATTTTTTTAATAGTCTTAATTTATCTTTTGTATAGTTTTGCCTTAATTTCAATTCGTTTAGTGCTTCTGTTGTTTTTCTAATCAATTTTGTTGCTATCGATATCGCTTTTGTATCCTGGTCAATTCTTTGCATATTTTTAAATATTTTCTTATGTAACTCCATGAATTGTTTATATTCATTATGCAATAATTTATCATGATTTTTGAGAACATCAAACGTATTTTCTTGTAAAATTTTCACATTTTTTATGATATTTATTTTGAATAAACTTATTTCACGTTCAATTATTTCTCGGGCTTGTGTTTGTCGTTGTCGGAATTCCATTAATTGTTTTGTATGATCTTCTGCCATAATCACATTTAATATCAAGAGTTGATCATTTATCTCGGCTAATTCTCGCTTTTCAAATAAATCAATAATATTCTCCTTTTCTTTTAAATATTCCTGACGTATCTGAGTTAACCTTTGTTCATATTCATGACGATGTGATTCCATTATTCCGTTGTACAACTGAAACAGTTTATCGGACAATTCATTCCATGTTATAAAGATATTTTGTACAGATGAAAAATTCTTTTTAAAATAATCATTATATTTTTCTTGTTTGTATTCGAACAATTCATTGTTACGATAAAAATAGTCCAATGTATTGTAATCATAGTCATATGCTGTTTCTTGAATGTAGGTCGAACGACGTTGTGATATCCATTTTTGGGTTAAAAATAAATCTGAACCGTTAGCCAACGATTTTTCAACAATAATTTTTTTATCTAAATATCTTGAATAAGTGCATAATTCCGGCCATCGCCGTTGAATTTTTAGATTAGAATAATATGTTCGTTTATCTTGAATCTTTAATTTAACTCTTCTAGATTTATTCTTTGGAACTTTTGCTGTTTCTTCTTTTACCGGAGACTGTCTACTTCTCACATTACTTTTTACTGCCTTAGACTTTTCTTTTTTTAATCTGCTATCATCCATCTACTTTGCTCTATATGCTGCAAAGTGTAATCTCTGCTATGCCTGGCGCTTATACTTTTAATTAAACGAACAGCACTATTATATCTAATTATTGACAGACAGTTCAAAAAAAAAACTTTCAGGATGGAAAAATCACCAACAAACGCTTCCCGATTCTAAATGAAAACACGCTGCCGATGCTACTGGGAAACTCCCAGATGATCTCAACATCGCTGCAGTTTTCAGACACCGAGTGTATTAGAGTAGGAAAGAAATAATGATACGAGAGCATGAAAAAACTGCTGATGAAATTTGCTCTCTAAGCGCGTTCGTTCTTGGAAGTGACATTTATTGATTGTTGTACAATGCCAATAAAAATGACGGTTATAAAAAAGAATTTTTAATCTGTATTCGCCTTGAATCAATAAGACCTTTAGTAGACTTGAGAAACCCTTTACTAAGCCTGTTTATAGGTGAGGCTGAGTCTTAGTTTTATGTTGAGGTACCGAGGAACTGACATTTAGTAATTGTAATATAATTTATCTTTATTGAGCTGGGTAACTCGCCTCTGGAGAAGTCATTGTGCAGTGTGACTGAACCGTTTGAGCAACTATGTTAAATGTGGGAGGAATTAATATAACTGATGCATAAAGACTGAAGATGTGCTATATGTTTTTGCTACTCGGAAAACATCAAAACAATTCTTCATTTTCATAGCAAATAGTTCTATAGTTACTCGTTGCAGACACGTCTGGGAATCTCAGAAACATGTGAATCATAGGTAATCGACCATGCTGATCATCGTGGTGACGTTCGTTTCGTTCCCCACCCAACCACAACTCCAAAAAAGCCAATTTGGTGAAAAGCCGGTTTTTCGCCTGTTACCGTCAAAATATTTCACTCATTTCTCGTTCAGAAAGACAGAAATTTTCAGGGAACGATTAGCAGAGAGCATAGAATGTAGATCGAGTCGAAAAAATCTGATCTGAGGTTTGGTTCCCTGGGAGGTTTTCCAGAGATCCGCTAAAAAATCGTATGCATAAACTGAAAACCCTATGTGTAACTTTTTCGACTGGATCCACATTCTATGATTTCTGCTAATCGTTCTCTAAAAATTTCAGTCTTTCTGAACGAGAAATGAGTGAAATATACGCTTTTTAATTTTTGACGGTAATAGGCGAAAAACCGGCTTTTCATCAAATTGGCTTTTCTGGAGTTGTGGTTGGATGGGAAACGAAACAAACGTCGCCACGATGATCAGTATGGTTGATTACCTATGATTCGCATGTTTCTGAGATTCCCAAACGTGTCTGCAACGAGGTAGGTGTGTCCTCGCAAAACGTCCGTATCTCCGGAACCAAAGGAGATGAAGACCTGGACCTTGCGTAGTTTTGAAGAGAAATGTTTTGGCTATCGACTACTATTATTTGACATTGGATGTCATAGTGTGGTTTTGAAACGGTAAGCTTTGAAATTTTGCCTCGAATGGTACATCATGGTAAACCTGATTGGAAGCCCTGCTTTTTTCATAAGTTTACGTCCCAAAGTGTCTAGTTTCCGAATCTAAAAACCGCAGATCTCTATCTCTCTTCGTTGAAAAGTTATAAGTACTTTGCCGGAGCGCATTCTTTTTTAAATTTCGATAATAGTTACTAACAAAAGGGTAAAAACAACTCAAACCCAGCAGAAACCACTCTGTAGAAAATATCGGAAGGGTTGGTAATCCTTGTAGGATAGCAGTTATCTCCACACAACAAGGCTAGTCGGCTTGCCAATCTTCGTATGAGCAATGTCAAATCGAATACATTTATATATAAGTTCAAAACGATTTAAAAGTTGTATCACGCACCTTCTTTTTCGGCAGTGAGAACAAGTTCGATTATTGCTTAATATAAGTTTATAGCCTTGATATCAAAGTTGGGAGAAGTAGAGAGACTTACACTACAAGGGTTAAAGATCCCTGTCCAGTCGTGAGTGTAAGAAGTATGAGATTTGTGATCATAAGGTTTTTCAAAAAAATTCTTTTGAACAAAATGATGAAAATCTCAGAAATCATCGTCTGTGGCGCTATTATTATGACATTAATTGTAGTGACAAGAGCAAAAAACACTTGTCATAGTACGAAGTCTAACCATATCAAACCGTATAATCCGAAAATTTGTCTTAAATAATTAAATCTTATGCAATCCACGTTTACTGATTGCATCTCGCTATGAGTAGCTCATCATCTACCATTAGTATAATGTTTTGTATTCCAGGTTTTATGAATCTCGCGTGGCATCCACAAATCATAGGAATAGTAGGTTGACGAGTGAGGAATGACACGAGTCATGTTAATCTAGCGCCTTGTTTCTGCTGGCACTACTTCAATGTCTGTGGACTTCCACAAACCTGGATTATCTCAATTCGCGAGCACTAGAGCACAAAGGAATTGGGATCGGAACAATTTCACAATGTTCGAGCAAATACGATAGGACGAAGTAGAAGTGAAATTTGCGGTTTTACTGTGGAAGGTAGCAGCAATCAGTTAGTGTCAAGCTTCTAGCTTCGGTTCTGCTGATTGATATCCTAGGTTCTTTTTTGTTCGAAAGATTTTTGGTCCTTATACAGAATAACCACATTTCATGATGCAGATATGTATGAGAATGAGGATGCAATTATTCTGTATCAATTTTTTGCATGTTTTCTTAAGTAATCTCTTTCCTTTACATACTTGGTGAACCTGCTGTGTCGTATGAAATGAATTAGATGGTTATTACGTAAGTCATGTGAAGAGAATCGATCACTCTATGGAAAAAGATCTTGAAATAAGTTCTTTAACAAAATTTTTTGTATTAAATATTCCATCTTTTTTATGAATTCTGATGTTTTTATTCTGCCTAATTACTTTTTCTAATAGTTTCGAAGTTAGTTTATTGTATAAGTATATGTTTACGTTTAGAATATCAGCCATCTTTTTTATTACTTTGTTCTAATGGAGAGTTTTTACAGAATCCCGTTTACATTTGTGCAATGCCCCAATATCAAGTTGAAAAAACCATCATGGTTTAGAAAACCATCTAATATGATGTAAGTATGTGGTTTTTCTGATAAACTAAACGTTTATTGTTTATACGTTGTTTCTTTCTTGTAGGGTATTCGCCACTTTATTATTGTCTTATTTTCTTGTTACGGCTGGTAAGTATAACATTTGAATTAATTTTTCGTTGTCTGTAAACTTTTATAACTATTTTAGGTATCATCTATGATATTATTGTCGAGCCTCCAAGTGTTGGTAATATGGAGTTTCTGAATTTCGTGTGGGCTTATTGTATGATGCTTTTCTCTTTCTAGGAAGTACTACAGATGAATATGGACACCATAAACCGGTGTGTATTCTAATATTATTCTAGTTGATTTCTTATGTTTATATTCTATTTATTTTCCAGGTAGCTTTTATGGCTTGGCGTATAAATGGACAATATATAATGGAAGGTATAACAAACTGATGTTTATTTGAGAAGAGTAATCTTTCACGTAAGTTTACCCCTGTATAATTTAGGTTTAGCTGCTTCATTCATGTTTTCACTTGGTGGAATTGGATTTATTTTATTGGATTTGACCAATAAGCCAAGCATGCCGAAATTAAATCGTATACTAATGCTGTTATGTTCATTTATATTTATACTAATTGCATTTTTTACAACAAAAATATTCATCAGAATTAAAATGCCGTAAGTACTATAATGTTCACTGCTACATCATAACTACATATATTTATATGATTCTAGGAGTTACATGAATTAAACCATTTTGTTCAAATAGCAAAAAAAAACTCAACATTTCATACTTTTGGGAGGATTTTTATTTATATTTCGTTATTTATTTGTTTGTAGTGTATTTTTTATACGTCATCTTGATTGTTACTATCAGTTTTTCTTTTATTGTTTTGTTATTATTGTTGAAAACTACATCGTATTTTTTTCCTAGTTAATAAAAAAATATGTTAGAAGAGGATTATTATTGACTCTTTCACGCATCAAAGCTGAGATCGAAAAATTCTTTACAATATGTTCTTAAAAACATTAAACCAAATAAAACGCCTTGTTTGATTACTTTGCACGGTTAAAAGAGTAATAATAATTTGGATTATTAGTTCTGAACAGATTTTGCTATTGAATCTCAAACATCTTGCCTATTCATCCTGCTATACGGTCGTGAAGCATAACGGACAAGATGAAGCGCAAATTAAATAGTTTTTCAAGTAGCTGTTATAGAATAATGCTTGGAATTAAGCGTAGAGATCATATTTCAAATGTCACCATATACAACAGACTAGGTGTGGACATGCTTATAAAGACAATTGTTAAAAGACAGCTCGAATGGGTAAAACATATTTGTAGACACTCAGATGCTGAGCCCTTGAAAAAATTTGACTTATATCAACCAATACATCGTACAAACAATCCAGGGAATCAGCCACAAGACTATCTTGGTTATGTGTTGAACTTACTCAACAATGGTATTTGCGATAAGAAGTATTGGAAAGTGATGGACATTGTAGATGATGCTAAGAGTGAGCACAAATGGAAGAAGATCGTGGTCGTCTGCTTGAGAGCAGCCGAGTAACGATGATGATCTCAACAGGAAAAATATATACATTTTTAATTGTACTTGTTAACATATATTTTAGCATATTCCTTACATAAGATGAACACCTGAAAATTTTGTATCAAATAAAAGTTATTATATGCGCTATTTTTTATTTACCGTAAACCTAAAAGTGTCATACATTTTTTTGGGGTTTCTGATACACTACAATGCAACGAGAAAAAAGTTACAAGTTAAAAAGTCAAAAGATCCAAGAGACAGTTGATATTATTTATTCTATTGTCAGATATTAGGCTTTTTTTATTGATGTTATTTTTGCCACTGGAGTTGTTGTTCGATTTGTTTCTTTTTGTGTTGTTACTTTTGAGTTTGATTGAGTTGTTGTTGAGTCAGTGGCTGTTGATGTTGAATGTGAATTCCAGAATTTTATACCAATACATAATTCTGCTAGTGCATACCGTGACCATTCTCCGTGCTCTTCGCACTGTTTGCAGTGAGGTCCAAAGCCAAATGGGTAGACAGCATAAACCGAATTTGGAGGATATAATGCTAAATCACCTTGTTTAATTTCACCCCATTCAGTGACAAGACGAGGGTATCCACGTAGTAAATCGGCATCACAACGAACAGTCTCACAAACAGATAACTGAGTCCAAAGACCTGAAAAATAGTTATATTTATTATTTTATAAGCATCACGGTAGGAACAGATATGTTTCAATTCGATAATTTCTCGAAAGAATTTAAAATTGCTCCATGTTTGGGACGAAACTACAGCATATTTGGTTTACATCATATCGTATCACTTTTTCTATCTAATAAAATATAGTGATAGCGCTCATTAGACCCTTCAAAAAATCTACCAGTTTAGACTCTCCAAAAACATATTTAAAAACCTGATATATAACCCTACCATTTCTACATGTTCGACAAAATTTCATTCCCTCCGGTTGTGAACGTCGTTCATAAACAGCAACGGCCAAATCGGGCACACTTTCAAGATATTCAGGAAATTTCGTTCGCCTGTCGGGTTCATCAATTCTTAATCGACGAAATTCAAATGGTACAACCATTTGTGATTCAGCTTGTTGTAATAAATCAGTTGTACAACCGGATAATTGTGCCACATAGTTTCGCTTCATCATCGATGTTAACAATTGTTGAGATTCATTAACAGTTTTTTGTTCTTGTTGCTGATGTTGAAATGGTTTCAAATCAATATAGGATAATGGTACAGGTATCGAAGGTGTTAACGGATCAAGAGGAGGAGAATTACCATTATCCGTTAATAGATTATTTTGTTCAAGCATTCGTAAATTTCTAAATAATACAGAATCATCTGATGATTTTGTTTGATTTGTTTCATGTGATTTGCTCAACATATTTGTATCAATAATAATACAGGCTGGAATTGAGTACGAATAATGAACCAAGATAGAAATTTTCAAGAGAACAAAGATCAGACGCATTTTTTTAAACGTTAAAAATTTTAGTATGATGATCGGACAAAAATAAAACCAAAAAGTGAAGTTGTTACTTCTTTTTTTTCACGCAAAAGCCAAACATAATCTGCTAATCCATAGTTAAACAATTTAGATAGACAAATGATACAGATGAGCAAGTGTCCAGACGTGTGAAAGATGTAAACATATACACGTACATGTTCAAATATCAAAATTGCTTCTTGCTTTACGCCATAGAATTAACGTGTAGATGAATTTTTTCTTTATATATAAAATATAAGTAGCCATTTAGTGTTAATCTTTTATTTTATTCTTCTTTTTCTTTCTTTGATCGAGCAATAGGATAAAAGAGTATTATGCAGTTCTTTGTAACAATGATGTAAAACATTTCAATATCAAATATTCCATATTAAAGCTCAATTCAGTTAGAAATGAACGTGAAAATCTTATACTTTTTAAATAAAGTTTAAGTATTTTTTGCAGTCACTTGGCTGATACTAAGATACTTGAAGTCGCATATCTTCATCTGATCGCATTTCTGAACAGACATTTAAAATTAGCTCTTCTCTTGGAGTAGAAGACGATTTCTTAAAGATAGGTTTGTTGAATTCTATAATTCTGTAATGCAGAAAATAGACAAATGGAAATAAAAATAAATATTTCCAACATGCTTTCAGAGGCGTCTCGATTGGAGATAGACGAGAAGAGTAACCACCCTATGTTACAAAAAGATTTTTGGCTCCCATTTTGTTTTAATTCTCTCTCTCCTTTTATGGCTTCGGGACGCCTCTGCACACTATCAAGACATACTATACTGTTACTAAAATGTTTTAAAATCAGAATCTGCTTCTTGTTGAATGAACGTTTGTTATATTGATCGTATCATCTGTAATATTATTTATATTTCTCGAATAATGCATAGTTTATGTGTTAACAATATAAAAATAAAGTAACAAAAACAACTTAAAAAAGAAACCATAATTCTTCTACGACTGTCTACTATTGAGTGATTTTCCTTCGTATTTATCATGATTATTCTCTTCTTCATTATCGGACTCATCTGTATCCGATTGATCAGGTGGTAGAAGATCATCTGATATTTGTGTATCACTGTTTTTATCCATCTTTTCTTGATCATCCAATGCGTCAGTAAATTCTTTTGGCCTTAATAGAAATCATAAAATATACGCGAACTAACATCTAATGCTAAATTTGCATACCATAAATTTTGTGATCGTATATAACGAATATTGTCTTTTAATAACACTTGAACTATTTCTGCTTTAACTTTATCACCTTCTTTAATATCTTCAACTATCACATAATCACCTGGAATAAGAGACAAGCAGATAACTTACATGAACGCTACAAACTATCAAGCCAGATGGCGTTGCATAAGAAACTTCGAGCAAACTTCTATTTTTTTGGAAACTGACTTGAGACAGATTTTATCAGGGATATATATAAGCATGCATCAGTTACAGTTTTTGGGCGGTTAAGTCTAGTGGTAAAATAAGTGTAACTTTGAAACTATAACTGTCATAACTGTTAGGAAAATATTTTAGAGTGAGTTAATGTTGCACGATTAGCATAGGTTTCAGAGTGAGGACAAAAAAAGAACATATATCTGACTCTTCTATAGAATTGGTCGAGGTTAGTTAAATTTTGATAAAAATCAATTTTTTTTCCTTTTTTTCCTATTCTTCCTTCTTTTGCTAGAATGGACGGTATGCGCAGATATTTGCCAAGTGAAAAGATGGACGACATCTTATTTGATACACTCCGAATAGAGTTTTTTTACAAATATATTATGAACCGAGACCGAAATGCTAAAAACGTTTTTTGGCAGTTTTACCCTTTTCTCAGTTACAGTTATGATAGTTATGGTTTTACAGTTAGATATATACAAGTATTGCCATGCTATAAGTAAACAGACTTACGAGGAAAGGTCCCCAAGTGTGCAATCGCTTTTTGCTTGAACTCTAGTAGACAATAGGTAATCGAGTTCGAATCTGACATCGGCTAGTACTGCTAGGCCTCCAGAGACCGAGTTTCTGAAAAACTAGGTTTTCAGAAACTAAAAAATGAACAAAACCTTTCTTAATGAGGCATGATTGTAGGCCGCAACGTTCTGATTAAAATGAGACATCTCCCAGCTGTACACAACCTTTCTTTGCAAAGTTATAGAATTTACACGAAAAGCCCTAAATGTTCATTGTCAGCTCAAAGCTACAGAAATAAGAAATTAATTCAGGGCTTTTCGTGTAAATTCTATAACTTTGCAAAGAAAGGTTGTGTACAGCTGGGAGATATCTCATTTTAATCAGAACGTTGCGGCCTACAATCATGCCTCATTAAGAAAGGTTTTGTTCATTTTTTATTTTCTGAAAACCTAGTTTTTCAGAAACTCGGTCTCTGGAGGCCTGGCAGTACAAATCGATGTCAGATTCGAATTTAGCGCAGTCGATTACCTATTGTCTGTTAGAGTTCAAGCAAAAAGCGATTGCACACTTGGGGACCTTTCCTCGTTAGTGGAATATGAATTGTTTTACATCTTCTTGAAATTTAGATGATGAATTAATAAATACCTCGTTTAATATAGATTGTATTACGAAATTTTGTTGGCATAGTAACTAAAAATGTGTTACCATCTGGTGTGATGACTTCATGTAAGTTATTGCCACGAGGCGCCACAATCTATTAAAAAAGGCGATCAAATTAATATTTCTAAGGTGTTAAGTCTAGAACATACCTTCACAACATACGATTTTTCATTGGGTAATAAATAATTTTGAAGAGTTTCATTCACTACATATTTTTTTTTGGTTGCGGCAGACATATTTTGTAATGAAAACTGTTTGTTTCTCTGTTGAGCATGAATTTGAAAAAAGAAATGAAATTTAAGCTTAACTTATTCTCAAAGTTTACTTCCAATTAATTCCAATTGGAATATTAAGTGTACTAAGTTGTGAAATCACTCAAAAATAGAAACGATAGAGTTAAAAAACACTATACGCTGTTTATTCTATATATTCATTTAATAATATTAACGAAAAAAAACACAACATCAAGAAAAAAACACAATGAATGTCCAGCATTCACTCGACAACAACAAACAAAAAACAAAATAAAAGAGAGAAGAAAATAATCAACAAAATTTTTCCTAAACAAAACCGTTTTCATTTGTTATTGAATCGAATCGTTGATAAAATAGAAGATAACTAAAAATATTTTTTATTATGATAAATACAGGTATAAATATAAAATAAAATTTTTCTTACCATTCGCTATTAAATACTTCTTCATTATTTACTTCTGATACCAGATGATCATCACAACGAAACCAACGATTGTGATTTAATTTAATATAACAAATATAATGACCTGTTTCAGCTGATAATCCAAAATGACTAATAACAGCAAATAAAAAATACATGTTATTATTTTTAGCTGCTATTTGTTGTTTATTATCATTCGTTTCATTTTGAGTCGATGATAAATATGGTGTCAAATCAAAATATTCAGAAAAAGCAACATGTGAAGAAATTTTTTTTCGTGAACGTGAACGTGATTTTTTTATATATTGAAAACGCTAAATATAAAATAAATAAGAAAATTCAAGAAAGGATTAAAAATAGCCCATTATTAAGTTTAGTGTGTTTACTTTTAAATGAAAACATGCAACAACAGGTGCTTGAGCAATAGTCAATTTAATCGTTGCTGACATGGACAATTTACAATGATCACAATAGAAATTATTTAACGTTTCGGAATGTGTAAATCTATTCGATGAAAAATGATAATAAATTTAAAAATAAAATAAAATAAAATTCTTACCTTCGCAGACACGTTTCTAGTGTAAAAATTTCGTTTGTACCATCTTGAATAAAAATAAATATAAGACAAAATATATTTTGTTGAAAAAAAGAACACATACTAGTACAATTGGTCGAATCCAATTGTAGCGATATATCGCGAATAGGATCTTTTTTTGTGGAAACATTTCTGAATGAAAAAAACAACATTATGAAGAAAAAAAAGAGATGAAGGCATTAAAGTGGATCAGAGATGGGCGAGTCACCACTTTTTCGAGTCCGAGTCAGCAGGCTTCGAGTCCAGGTTCGAGTCCGAGTCGCATAAAAAATTGACTCGAGCCATTTTCTAGTGGTAGTCTTCCTCTTGATTCATTTTTTCAAGACAGCTTACTACTCACTGTTGTTGTTTTAAGCATTCGTTTTTACTCATTCTGCTGAACACTTCCTAGGTGTTATCTCGACTCTTTTTTGCAAGTTGGATCTAAAGATGGGCACCATATAATTCAATTCACATAAAAAACGTTTTCTAGGTCTTCAATCCTCTCATGGGACGCGATGTTCTATTTAGAATATTCTCAAATCTCTCTCTCTCTCTGATAGTATATAACAAATATGTTTAACATCCTCATAATAATGTAAAGTTGCACGTGACTGACTCGAAAGTGACTCGAGTCAGTTTATCAAGATTCTCGAGTCTTTCGTCTCGAGTCCGAGTCACAGAAAAATGTGACTCGAGTCGACTCGAGTCCGAGTCGTGACTCGAACTCGCCCATCTCTGAAGTGGATGAAGAGTGATAAATTCAGTGCGAATGATAAATGAAAATATGACAATCAATTCGATAAATCCCTCTTGTATTTTCACTAATTATTTTATTGTATTAAAATCATTATTCATTTTTTTTTTAATCTTACCCACATTTTGAACATGTCACATCAGATTGTAGTGATCCATTAAATATTTTATCAATCACACACGAACAATTTTTACCATCTTTTGCTATCATTAAATAAAACAAATAATTGTCAATTATTTTGTTTAAAAAAGAAAAGTAGCTAAACGTACTTGCTTCTGTTGTATTTTGTGAATGAATAATGTTAAACAAAGCCATTAAAAATTCCTGAGCATCTTGTTCTTCAAAACCCGCTAGATGATTTTCATGTGTCCATATTAAATACAATAATTGTGATGGT